CGTATTTTACGCTCGAGCACAGAGTTTACTGCTCGAGTAGTGCGACCAAAATCTAGGATTTCCAAATTGCACGCCCAAGTTTCAAACTCATCTTTAACCTTCCAAAACACATCCTTTTGAAACCAAAATTAAGAAAACATATAAACTCATAAAACTTCATGAATTGAAAGCAATTTCGCAAAATCAAGGCCCAAAAGTATGTGAATTACATAAAAGCAAAACTTGAAACTTTAAGAACATAATATGAACATAACATCCATGCCATTTCTTGAGTTCGACTCTTCTATATCATGATCAAATGAGCTAAATTGATGTAAAATGCGATGAATTCTCATAGCCAAGCTAAAACAACCACATGCATGCAAGAATCCTTTGATAATTTGCTTTAAACATGATGAAATATGCATGCATGCATGCATGATTACTCTTAAATTCTTTCAATTCTAACTTAATTCAAGTGCTACTACACCTTCAATTCCTTTTTCATTTACATGAAATTAAGCCTAATGGCATAAAATAAGTGTTGAATCCTTACCTCAACTTCTCAATTAAGCTCTAGGTGATGCATTCACTAATATTCTAAGCCAAATCCTTAAATTTCCAAGCTAATTCCTTCCAAATTCTAGCAATTCCATTGTTGCTTCTCAATTTCTTCTTCCCTCTTCTCTCTCTCTCATGTTGGTCTCCAAGGATGAGGAAAAAAACGAGAGTGTAGAGTGTATATAGAAGCCTTATATAGGCTTGGTTAGGCCACTTAATTAGTCTTAGCTTAAGTAAATTTATTCTAATTATTTGGTTTCGAATCAAATTTCAATTGAACCTGTCATAAGGCTCCAAAAACCCCAAATAACACAGAAACTTAAACAATTTCAAAATCGAATGTCGATAAAGCCTTCAAATCACAAACCGAAATAGAAATACGGACAGATATTTCTACAACAAACAGATATAAATCCAAATTAACACAATGCACATGTAATTACTCAAAATTTAGTCTTAATTACGCATTAGGCATCCTTAATCATGCTTTAGTCGTTAACTATGGGTCGGGTTGTTACAAACAGGGACCAAATTAACACATCGTGTAAACTACAAGGACCATTTGCATAATTTACTCAATAATTTTTGCTATTTTGGGTGTTGTTTAAGTCTACAATTTTTTATTCCTTCATTTTTTATAATCAAAATAAAGGTTAAACTTTCATATTTCATAAACACCGAATATTATTACTAAATAAAGTATCATTTTTTTAACATACATAGCATGAAAACATAACATTATTTTCTTAAAGGGGTTGGCGGATCGGGTGACTTCTCATCTGTGATCTGTTCGAACATTGGCGGATTTTTGAAAAATCTTCATTTGCATCCGTCCACCTATACTATCAAAATCGCTTAAAAATAGGTAGATTGGATTGTATCGGTCAGTTTTAGTGGATTGGTCAGGCCGTGCGTACCCCAGGGGATACATTGTGGATGAGAAGAGGTGACAAGGGTCGAAGAGAGGTGAGGGGTTATATAAAGTACTCCAAATCAACTATGGTACATGCACCAACGAAATATATCAAACTACCGAGAGATCAAAGAAATACTGATCCTCTCACAAAACTGTGTCGATACACTCTCGATATGTTTCTTGTCAGGGGCGGCTCCGAGGCTTGGTCAGGGGTGTCACCCGAACCCCATGGCTGAATTTTTTTATTTATTTATTATATAAATATTAGATTTTAGGAAAAAAATTAGTAATTGAACCCACTAAAATACAATTTTGAACCCATAGTTTTAAGCAATGAAAAAAGTTTACTTTTTAACTTTTACCTATTTTTTGTTTAAAATATTTTATTTGTAAAGTCATATATTTTTATTTTTTTTTGGTCTACTTTTTGTTTAAAATATTTTATTTGTAAATTGATAGTTTGTATTCTTGCTTTGGAAATTGGAGACCTGACGTCAAGGTGCATCAATCTTTTGTTTACTTTTTGTTTAATATATTTTATTTGTAAAGTGGTTGTTTGTATCATGCATTGGAAGCCAGACTATCCTTGCTAATGCCATCTCTTTTCATTTCAAGCTTCAGGCAAGGCGGCAGATGGCTTAGAGAAACTCCAAGCTCTCTCTCATTCTTCATCACTCTCCACATCTCTCTGTTTTCATCATCAATATTTTCCAACAACGACATCAACTACTCTACTCAATTATTAGGTAAATTTTGTATAATCATTTCTCTATTTTATAGTATTTTGGATAGAATAAATATAAATCAACAATTTTTGGGGTAAAAATTAGGGCTTTCTTTTTGTTCAATAATTGTCTTGTTTGTAAATGTATTATGTATATTTTGTTTGTATTTGTTTTGTTAAAACATTTATATTGTTTAACTTCCCCCTTATATTGGGGCTAAAAATTAGGGGTTTTTTTTTCCCCTTTAGTTTTGTTTTTTTGGCTCACTAATTGTTTATAATTTGTAAATGTATTATTATGCATATGATGCTTCAATGCTTGGTATGCTTTGTTAGAGATGTTACGTTGCACTGTAATTGATTTATGAGTGGTTGATTTGGTGGTATGTTTTACAATGTTTTTCTTTATTTATTTTTTTTTTTTTGCCAATTAGTTTTACCGCTATGGACAAATTTCTTAAAAGAAAATCAACAGTAGTAGAAGATTCATCTCCTACAGAAGAAACTTCTTCTAAGCAAAGTCATGTAGATGTGAACAATCTTCCATCTGACTCGGGGCTACGACAAAAAATTTCTTCTTATCATCCTAACAATCAAGATGAAATCAGAAGAGCATATTTGCAAAAGGGTCCTTGTCAACCTCTTGACCACAATTTTCCTCAAAGAGACATTAGTGGAGTCATGCGTCGGTTTAATCCTGCTTGGTTTAAAGAAAACAAGAATTGGTTGGAATATAGCATAGAAAAGGATGCTATATTTTGCTTATGTTGTTATTTATTTAGACCTGATACCTGTAAACAAGTGGGTGGTGACACTTTTGTGGTGGGAGGGTTCACAACTTGGAACAAGAAAGAAAGGCTACGAGTTCACGTTGGGGGTCTTAATGCTGCTCATAATCAAGCTGTGAAGAAGTGTGAGGTTCTTATGAAACAAAAGCAACACATTGAAAGTGCTTTTTCTAAGCAATCTGAACAAGCAAAGATTGAATATTGAACTCGTTTGAATGCATCAGTTGATTGCATAAGGTTTCTTTTGCAACAAGGTTTAGCGTTTCGTGGTCATGATGAATCTAATGATTCAAGTAATAAAGGAAATTTCCTTGAGCTTTTACAGTTTCTAGCTGATCACAATGAATCTATCAATGAAGTTGTGTTGAAGAATACTCCAAAAAATAACAAGTTATGTCATCCTAATATTCAAAAAGATATTGCCAATGCTGCAGCAAGTGAAACTACCAATGCTATCATCCAGGATCTTGGCAATGAGTATTTTTCAATATTAGTCGATGAATCTCGTGATGTGTCGATCAAAGAACAAATGGTTGTTGTTCTGCGTTATGTAGATAAAAGGGGTATTGTTACAGAGCGGTTTCTTGGTATTGTACATGTAGCAGATACCACAGCTTTATCACTTAAGGCGACAATTGAGTCTTTGTTTTCTAGGCATGGATTGAGCTTAGCAAGAATACGTGGGCAAGGTTATGATGGAGCTTCTAATATGCAAGGTGCATTCAATGGTCTTCAAACTTTAATTCTGAGGGAGAATAAATCAGCATATTATGTTCATTGTTTTGCTCATCAACTTCAGTTGACTCTTATTGCCGTTGCTAAAAATCACATTGATGTTGCTGAAGTTTTTTGCTTGGTTTCCAATCTGGTGAATGTTATTGGAGGGTCTTGTAAGAGACGGGATCTTCGAGAGGCACAAGCTACTAAAGTTGCTGAAGCATTGAACAATGGTGAACTCTTAAGTGGGCAAGGTTTGAATCAAGAAACTAATCTTAAAAGGACTGGTGATACACGTTGGGGATCACATTATGGAACAATTATAAACTTGATTTTGATGTTCCCATCTGTTATTGATGTGCCTGAGGTTGTTAAAGAGGATGGTTTACACGCCGAGCGAAGAGTTGAAGCTTGTTCTCTTATGGATTCAATGCAATCTTTTGAATTTGTCTTCACTTTACACTTGATGAAAAATATATTAGGGATCACACATGAGTTGTCATTAGCACTACAAAGAAAAGATCAAGATATTGTAAATGCAATGACATTAGTTAAAGTGTCTAAGCAACGATTGCAAATGATGAGAGATGATGAATGGGAATCCCTATTGGAAGAAGTGTACTTATTTTGCGGCGAACATGATATTCCTATCCCTAACATTGATGATAGATTTGTAGCTCGTGGGAGGTTATGCCGCAAAGCTCCTGAAATCACAAATTTATACCACTACCGTGTTGAGATCTTCTACACTGTTACAGATATGCAACTTCAAGAGCTTAACAACCGGTTTACAGAGGCAAGTACAGAGTTGCTTCTATGCGTGGCATGCTTGAACCCCAATAATTCATTTTTTGTTTTTGATAAGCAAAAGTTAATCCATCTTGCTGAATTCTATCCATCTGATTTTTCTGCGGTAGATCTCATGGCACTTGATAATCAACTTCAAAACTACATTGTTGACATGCGCTCTAGCAATGAATTTTCCGAACTCAAAGGAATTGGTGACCTTACTAGAAAGTTGGTAGAGACAAAGAAAGATATTGTATATCCATTAGTCTATTTGCTTGTGAAAATGGCGTTGATTTTACCGGTTGCGACTGCAACAGTGGAAAGAGCATTTTCAGCAATGAAATTCATAAAGAATCGATTGCATAACCGAATGGGAGATCAATGGTTGAATGCTTGTTTGGTTACATATATTGAGAAAGATGTATTTGATAGTGTTGATAATGAGCTTATTATGCAACGATTTCAAAATATGAAATCTCGTCGAGAGAGAGAGAGAGAGAGAGAGAGAGAGAGAGAGAGAGAGGTGTCTAGGAAACAAAGAATCACTAGTGTTTTTAAGTTTGAGATTACTATTACATACATGAAGAAAAAACTACATGACAGTTTCTTGCAAAAATCTCAAAAACTAACATTTACTTTTCTTCTTCCTCATCTGTGATAAATTTTCCAGTTCCAGGATTCAATGCGGCGAAGAAGAAGAAGGCAACATTGAGCAACACAAGGGGCTCAATATCACCAATTGGAACTCCTGTCTCTATGTTTAGCTGTGCCAGAGCTCCTTTCCCTGTTATTATTTCTCCAATTATAGAGAATACAATCCCCAACTGAGCCAATCGTCCCACGAACAGCTCGTTTGATTTTGTAAATCCAAATAGTGGACCTAACAAAAAATAATAATAATAAAAATAAAAACACACACAACATTTCTTAGAGTTTACATTATGATCTTTCACCCTCATGATTGGCATTTTTTAATCTACTTTAAAAAAATCTTAAAAACAATACAATTAAACATGATATACAGATCATAAATGTTATGTACCCAAAAACTAATATATAAAATTGTGCAGAATTTGAAATGTGTAGAAAGATTCAAAGTAAAAACATTTTTCTAAGTATTTTGTAGAAATCTAATGGCATCACTAGATTGATTTCATCCCCATTCTGAAGTATAGTCTTGTTTCATAATCGTTTCAATATTGAAATTGCCCACATTTACTACACTAAAATAGATTATCACCTTATGATCAAATGCCTACCATGAAAACTTTGAATAAAAGGTCTTGTGTTGTTGTAATTAAGAATTTTATTCCTAAAATAGAAGTCAATTTTCTTTGCACTAAACTTTGCACATACATACCCCTAATATATAAAACTTATAAATTCCAATGACAAAGTATAATTTTTTTACCTCCTTCTTTAAGGCCCAATGCGGATCTGAGTCCTTTGCCAGGAGGGATGACAGCCCTTTCAAGGCCAGTGGGAGGGTCATCGACAAAGCGGCCTCTATCTCCCAAAGCTCCAATGGCTCCAAGAAGGGTGAAAAGGATGAAGAAAAGAAGAAGAGGCTCAGCTTCATAGATGGGAATACCGGTCTCAAGATTGAGTTGTGCTAGAATTCCTTTCCCTGTTATTGCTTCTCCCAACAGAGATGCCTGCAAACAATTGGAAACCAAAGCACTTGAATTAGCTATGTGAACTACTACTACACACCATGTGCTTTTATCTTCTCTTTGTCACTATTTTGTCAGTCTAAGCATGGAAATTCTGTTTTGGACATGTTTGGTGTAATTTTTACTTAAATTTAAAGTTGACAATAAAAAATAAATAAATAAATAGAAGGTAAGAACATCTCTCTCAATTTTTAGATAATTAATTTTATTTATTTAAACTAATTAAAAAATAAAAGGTACTTCAAATAATCTGACACATAAATGTGCCATTAAAACTGTGAATGTAATCATGAAACGTGGATGGTTATTATTTGCACACGTCGGTGACAAGGAGACAAAAGTTGTAATGTTTGCCAATTAGCATGCCCCGTAACCTCTCATTTGAATTGCACCACTCCATAGCGAAGTATGAGATCCACATAAATTATAATAATTTTTTTTATTATTATTTTTAAAAGAAGGTAAATTACATTTTCCACTCTTTAATTTTTTCTTTCAAATTTTACTTCAGTTCATCCTCGTCTTCTAATTATAACAATTGAGCTTTCAAATTTTAACATATGTGATCTTTATCTCTGACTATTGACAATTTGAATAAAAAGTGTTCACATGAGGACAACATCAACACATTTAGGAGCATTAGAAGAAAAAATTACAAGTAAAATTACATTTTTTTATCATCTAATTTTCACTCAAATTTCTCTTAATTTGGTATTTCGTATTTTAATTTTGATTTAAATTATAAAAAATAAAAAATAAAAAGAAGAAGAAGATAATAGAGGACTGCATTGAGTTGAAGTCACATGTGTTATTACAGTAGGGTAACTAAAGTAAAATTGAGGTGAAAGTTAAAAAATCAAAGTACCCAATTAAAGTGATGAAAGGAGAGAGGAAGGGAGAATACTCACAGCAAAGCCGATCATCGCAACACGACCCACAAAGAGCTCATTTAAAAAATTGTAAAAATTGGTTTGTAGGGAAAAATTAAGATTGGAAGTTGTGCAGCCGTAATTTTTGACTTTTGGTAAATAGTGATAATTTTTTAACTTTTTGAGTAACTTTTTAATTTTTTTACAATATGTCAAACTTGACCTAAGTAAAATTGGGGTGAAAGTTAAAAAATCAGAAGTACCCAATTAAAGTGATGAAAGGAGAGAGGAAGGGAGAATACTCACAGCAAAGCCGATCATCGCAACACGACCCACAAAGAGCTCATTTTGCTTGGTAAAACCAATCCCCCCAGAGGTGCCAAAAATACCATCTTCAACCTTTGGCTTTGGTTTTTCAACCTAGTAGTACACAAAAAATTAAATTAAAATAAATAAATAAAATGAAACCAAATTTAGAGGGAAAAAAAGAAATTATTGAAACCTTCTTGGCAGGGGCAGCTTTGGCTTTTGATTTGAAGAGAGCAGTGGTGGTATTTGCATGAAATGAAGAAGAAGAGGGACGTGAGGGTAGTAAGATGTGAGAGAATGGTTTGGGTTTGAGTCTTTCAAGCAATGGTTGTCTCTTCAAATCCAATGCTTGGCCTGAAACACTAGAAGTGAGCAACATGGTTTGAGCCATTACTAATATTGTTTTGTTGTGTGTGAGAAGAATAAGGTAAGGATTATTTTTGTTGCTCCCTCACTCACTCACTCACTCAGGTGCTTTTGTGCTTTATTAAGGAGGGAGAAAGGTTTGTGTGTGTGAGAAAATTTCATGATGTGGATAGAGATTGATGGGCAAATAAAATGACCACGTGTCTCTTGTTGTATTTCATGTTTTATATATATATATATACTCAAAATTTATATATTTGAGGATATACGTCCCATTTGGTAGAATTGTGGGAAAGTAATTATAACTTATAACTTTATAGCTTATAGTTTATAGGTGTGAATATAAGCTGATTTTTTACTTATAAATTAAGTTTTTCATCCCTCACTCAAAAAATAAATTGATTTTTAACTTATAAAAAACTATAAGCTGTATTGTTAATCTGAACCAAACATATCAAAATAGTTTAAATTAAACTAAAAGGTAAAATAAGTTGAAAAAAAATCCTACCAAACAGGCCATGAATTAATTGGACCAAGGCTTTTATAGATCGCATATTTTTCTTCTTTTTTTCTCCTTCATCTTAAAATTTGTCTCGAAATCAAAAATCCATCCATTGTCTTAAAAGCATAAATGCACTTGGACTGTTATGTATCCTTAGGTTAATTTTTTTTATAATTATTTTCACTTACTACTTGGAGTCATCCAACAAATATCATGTGTACATATGTATACATGTCATTTTATTACATGGATTCACATAAAAGATGAAAAAACATATGAAATTCACTAAAATATTTAAGCAAATCTGTGTTTATACGTTGAAATACAATTTTTTTTGGGGGGGAGGGGGTGTGGAATCTTGATTTGGACTCTATTACCTCGAAACCCCTAAACAAGAGTCGGCGAAAAAGTATTAAGTGATAACATAATTTGAATTTAATCAGTTCAAATGCAATTATAATTTTTATTTTATTTTATTTATTTTTTATGATGTGAAAATTCCTCAAGTAAGAGGGTCCTTGCACTCTCTTACAAATCATTTTAAAAATTTTTTTATTGATACATAGTAAATGTGGAATAACTAAAATAATTAAAATTATTTATAAATCACAAGTATTAATTAATCATTATCAATTTTTTTAAGGAAAAATTTCAAATCAATGTATAAATTGAAAAATAATTACAAATTAATAATAAATTTTATCAATATTAATAATTAAAATTATAAACTTTTCTACACATATGTAATAATTTTTTTTTGTAAATACCACATGCAAGTAATTTTTCCTTTTTTTAAAAGACCTAATAAACCCAATCCCCATTTCTTTTTTTTTCTTTTTCTTTTTTCACGGTATGAATCTCTGATGGGAATGTGTGGATGATCGGGGACAAAAGAGCAAAAGGGCTCTCCCTCTCAGCTCTTGGAATTTTCTTTTCATTTGGGTCTCAATCAGATCTTCTAATTCACATAAAGTAGTGTTAGAAATTCACAAATTAAAATTTTAGAATCTTAAACATTTTCCTCCACATAATATAAGAAAGCCCACACCCAACCGAGAAAGTTCACCCATTTGTTAGGGAGATGTGATCCACACAACAAAATCACATCTCCAATTCATTGGCCCTGTTTGGTAGAGCTGTGAGAAAGTGCTTATAGCTTATGCCTCAACAGCTTATAGCTTATAACTTTCAGCTTAAGCTGATTTTCAGCTAATTCTTAAAGCATCTCCTGCCCCACTCAAAGAATAAGCTGATTTCTAACTTCCAAAAAGCTATAAGCTATAAGCTATAAGTTAAACTAAACACATCAAAATAACTTAAATTAAGCTGAAAGTTAAAATAAGCTGTAATTAAGCTCTGTCAAACAGGCACATTGTCATCCTTGCCTAAGCTTTGAAGATGCTGCCATTGTTATGGGGACATCTGGCAAAATTTGAGTTTGACATCTATACTATCTATCAACCCTGGTTTCAATTTTTGAAAAATAAATAAATAAAAATATATTACACTGATCAAGTTGCTTGTATTTTTTTTTTTCTTTTATATAGAAATTATCAAAAAATAATTCAGAATCCAATCCGTATAACAAAATAAATTTAGAGTTTTTATTTTATCAATTTAAATTCTAAATTTTTTATTTGTTTTTTATATAAATTATTAGTCTATTTTTGTTAAGTAAAATTAATGAAAAAATTATATTTTATTCATTAAACTCAATGTAAGTGTACATAAAATATCTAAAACATTCTTTTTGTTAAGTTTAATGACTAAAATACTAATTTTTTTGTCAATTTTACTTAACGAAAATAGAAAAATAATTTAGATTAAAAACCAATCAATCATTTATGATTTAAATTGATAAAATAAAAAAATTTAGAATTTATTTTCTTACAATGGTCGCTGGGTTTTTCTTTTTTGTAATTTTCCCTTTTTTTTTTTTTTTTTTTTGAAAGTCTATGGTGTACACCTTATCATAAATTGACATAATTTTATCACAAAAATTTAATAACATTAATTATAAAATCCATAATTTCACCACAAATCAACAAAACAAATTGCCCACAATTAATGGTTAGCACAAAATCCTATTTTTTGTTTTTTTTAGTGACATTTCTATAAAAAGTGTCATTAATTATTAGTTTTTAGTGACAGATTTAGAAAATTGTCACAGTTAAACGTCACTAATTATCAATTTTTTACGATAGATTAGGAAAATCCTCACAAAAAAACGCCTGTCAGTTTTTAGCGACAAATTCATAAAATTATCACAATTTTTTTTTAGCAATGATTTTGACAAAACCAATTTTCAGTGACTAATTGATAGAACTTTTTAATCTATACAAACACTTATGAGACTTTTTTTTTTTTTTTATGATTAGTTGTCTAAGGTAGTTTATGCGCGCCTTAACTAATCTTAGCAAAACACATCCTTCATGTGGATTGGACAAATTTCGGTAGAGCCCACGGCCGTGACTCCAAGGAGTTGATACCTAGTAAGAATTAAACCTAAGACCTAGAGAAAGCACCCCTTAGACCTCAAGTTGCACTCAGTATGCCGATCCCGTAGAGTTAAACACTCGTAGGACTTTATGGTGTAATTTAATCCATTTTCTCTTTCAACAACCTATATATATAAAGGCCTAAAGAGCAGGCTTAAGAAATACTTTAAGACTGGGCTTTAGATGGTCATAGAGGCCCGGCTGCGCTGGTCTGGGCTTAAGCAACTACAAATGTCATTATTAGGCAGTCCATATTGGCTGTTAGCTAACCCGGCTTGACTGGTCCAGCCAATGACCACCCTAGGTTTATGAATGTATAAGGGTAATTTGAGTATTTTAGTATTAAAAATAATAATAATGTCATCATTTTTCTACTTATGTAACACATGATATCATTTGGGGCAAAGTGTGATGTGAATTCAAATCTAAAAAAAGATTAATACAATTTTGTTAAAACTCTGAAGCTAAGGCCTGGTTTGACATACTCTAAAAAAATCAAAAAGTCTTTATCTTATTTAAGTCACATCATCTTATTTAAGTCATATCAGCTCTCTATCACATCATTTCAAACTCAACTCATATTTCATAAAAAGTCAAAAGTGCACTTATTTAGAACATCCCAAACAACTCCGAAGTATAGTTTTACCAAACCTCATAAAAAAATTGGTCTAATTTATCAATAAATACATCTGAGTTTTGGAAATTGGGCTAGCAAATGCAGCCCAAATATGTCTTCCTCAACTCTCAGGGCAAAAACACAGAGAAATTAACAAGTTTATAGCAAGATTTTAACCCTCAAGGGTTGAACAACCTTTTCTTTCTCTACATAGCAATGCCCTGGCTTTAATTGTGACTCCCGTAAGTAGATGATAGGATTGATCTACCGGATTAGTCGGTCTAACAGGTCGGATATCAAGGTAAATGATGGGATTGATCCACCGGATTAGATCAATCCCCTCTAGGAGACTATTTTCTAGGCAACCAAGCAGATAGCTGATGATAGAACAAGATACTGAGAAAATTTCCTTTGTAAAAATCCATTTATTTGGAGAAGAAGTGACTTCTGACATATATATGTTCTCGTTTGGCAAAAAAAAATTTAGTTGGTTTTTTGGAGCTGGAATTTTTTTAGTTTGGGACTAAAAAATTTGTTTTGGTTGGCTTTTTTTTTTTTGTGAGAGAAAAAAATGAAATGAATACGGTTTGGATGTAACATTTTATTTTATTAACTTTTTAACTTATTTTATCTTTTTGTAATTAATTTACTCCCAACCCAACTTAACCCACATAGCCAAACAAATATATATTGGGGGGATTCTATTTACACCCAAAAAAATCATTAAGTACTCTCAATTTTCTAAGTACACCTTGTTTAATTATTTAAAATTTTATTTTACTCTCATTACACCTTATTATTTTTTTTCTAAATTACCCTCAAGGTAAACCCAAATAATAAATAATAAATTAACTAAAAAAACTAAATTATTTCAAAAACTTTTCAATACAAAAAATAATTGCCAAACACAGAAGAAAAAAGAATAAACAAACAAACAAACAAACTTTAAGCACATAAGCATTATAAATACAGAAAAAATCAAACTTTTACATAAGCATTATAAAACTTTCCAATACAAAAATAAATAAATAAATAAATTACATTATAAATTATTCACAAGAATGCTCGTAGAAAAGTAAAAACCAAACTTATAAGCACATAAATATCAAGCATTAATAAGAAAGAGTAAGTCTCAAATAATGTACTATTTCAGTGAGAAAATAAGAACAACTTCAATAATATGTTATTGTTAATCTAATTATTGTACCATTTAATTTTTGTCAAAAAAACGATATATAAAATAATTGATGATGCTCTACAAAAAATTGTGAAACTCCTTTATATGAATACTCACCTCCTTTTTGATGGGTTGCTTCAAAAAATTATTTTAATTATTACTCTCATTTATTATTTAATTTTGTTCAAACTTTCTTCTAGGATCTAGGGTTTAGGGTTTCAAAATAATAAAAAACAATGATGTTGATGATGACGGTGAGTTTTGATAGGATGGATTAGAATTTTGAAGGAAGGATTAAGAA